TGATGCCATAATTCGGACACAACTACACAAGACTGCGTCCCAAATGTAATTTACAAACATAAGTCGCACCAATGTATACCAAAATGATCGTGTTGTGTATATTGCTTGAAGAATCCTTAAGAAAGATGACGAATAAGATATTTTTGGTACGTTGAACTAAACTTATATGAATAAGAAAAATAAGTTAAAATCTTTTAATCGTGATGTATATGTGTACAGCGTACTAGGTATCTAGTACTAGTCGACAATCATTTGGATGACTAACACAAGGCAAGAGGTGAGTTTAATTTGATGCTGTAATTTTAGAAATTAAGAGGGACATACAATAAAAAAAAAGCCACATAATTATTGTACCTAGATAAGATTTACTTGAGAAACAACAAAAGAAAGAGTTTCGGCCGTACGTATGTAAAATAGTAATGCTCTCAACACGAAGAGTAAAGTCAGGGAGTGATTGAGTTCAGTAGATTCTCATATAAAATTATTGATTCTAGAGATGTAGTAATATGGAGAAAACAAAATTGTTTCAAATATCGACATAATCGAAAGTGCCCCTTCTTTCAAACTTTCAAAGAAAGGGCGAATTATTCTCATTTCACTTGATGGTCATATGCGAATTGAAAGTTGAGCATTAGGAATTCTAAAGATTCCCCAATCAGCGAATACCACTATCATAAATTAGAGTGGCAATAACATGTTGAGAAAACACGTGTACTTAGGAAAGAATAATGCTGGGAGTACAGGATGATTATTACAGGCAAATTACAGGATTTTAAATTTGCCTTACGTGGCAGTTTTCCAAAAAAAAAAAAACACAGTTGACCGGCTGACTTCAAGGAAGCAGAAAGCGAGGGAAATCATTTCTTTCTCCCACAATTTCACACCACCATTTTCAGCCATTCAGCCCCATTTTCAGCCACCTCATTCACCTAAATCACCTCCATTTTCAGTCGTCCGCCTCCATTTTTTCAGCCGTCCGCCTCCATTTTTTTCAGCCGTCCACCTCCATTTTCAGCCTTATTTTTTTCAGCCGTTCACCTCGTATTCAGCCGTTGTCGTTCTTGTTTATGGCAAAGATTGTGGTTCCGTAAAAGAAAGAATGGCATTGTTTATGGCATTGTTGGTGAACTCTTCGACAATTATTGTTTTGATGCTATCTTCATTCTTACAGCATTTGCACCTTCTGTGGTTTTTCACAACAGATCCAAAACCCCACTTACAGGTTGGATCTTTAATCCTGCTAAGCATTTGCTATGTATTATAAATGAAAAGGTGATACCCAAGAGAACTGCAACATTGTGTGGTAAATAGACATATGAACATAAGGGATAGATGAACAAAACAGAAAATTGAACTCCTAATTGAACAAAACTAAACTCATAATTGAAAACATTACACACCTCATTCCCATATTCATTCAAATTTGGATCCAACATAATCGAACTCAAACATGAACAAAACAGAAACAACAAAGTGCATTCAAGCCGAACAAGTTTTTAATGTCAAAATAAAACCGTCCGTTTACTACTTCGGTCTACAAAGTTTACAAGCAATATCAACAGAACTCCTTTTGATTTAGACTCGTCATATTTGGCTCCTACAAACTGGCTTAGTATCTAGGATTCTACGAATGCTCCTAGGACTTCAGCACTAATAATTTGAAGCTATCACGAAGCTTTGCAGATTAACGTTGATAATTTTTTTAGAGAATCTTCAAGAGGTGACTGCAAAACATCTTCAAGATACTTCTCAACAGCAACATACAGCCTTTTCTTGTCCTCAATTTCCAATGCAGCCAAAGCTTTATCCTGTACAAAT